CGGGAAGCACAGGAAAATGACAGAACTTGACCACTATCATGCCGTGAATAGTGGCTTTACTCTGGGGCCAAGCTTATGGGACCCTGTGGTGTAGGTTGTGGAAATATTATTCTCGTGGAATAATAAGAATCCACTCACTTTGTTACATATGTTTACTGAGTGCCCAAGACTGGCGTGCATCAGCTATAAACTAAACACGAGGCTAATTGTTAGGATGTCAAATGTGAAAACAATACCTATGGTTCCCATCCTCAAGGATCTTAGAGTCTAATGCAGGAGAACAAAAGTAAACTGAAGGTCATTTGTGTAAGTATTGGTTTCCTATGTATGACAATATCTATATGTTAGATTGCCTGAACAAAGCAATGAGCCCATACTGGGGTCACTAGGGAAGCTGAGAGCAGTCTAAGGAATGGAATGTTTCAGACAGGAAGCAACAGGAGTGTAACAGATGGGACGGAGCACAGTGGATGTGCCAGGAAACCTGTTCAGAATGCTGAACTCTCAGAACTGGGTTAGAGAATGAGATGATGGCAAGACATGGACAGGAGAGGCAGGCAAGGAAGGACAGAGGGGCTTGTGCATAAAGTAATAGGCAGCTGGACTTCCTTGTATAGGAAACGGAGAGCCGTGTGAGGGCAAGCAGTATAGGGGCAAATGTACTTGGGTTACATTTTGAGGAAGGATGTAGAAGGAGTCCAAGGCAGGCAAATGGAGACTAGGCTAATAAGACATCACTGTAGCTGACAGGGATGAGAGGCATCGAATGCAGTACAGTGTGTGTGGGGGGGGAGCACTGTTTAGGGCTGTCCTGTAGGATGTTAGCAGCATCTTGGTCTCTATCCCCTAGTTGTCAGGGGCAGTGCCCCACCTCCACCAAGTTGTGACCTCCAAAACATCTCCAGGCATTGCTGAATGTCTCCTGCAGGGCACACTGTCCCACCTGAAATCCACTGATTTAGATACGCTGACATTAAAACACAATCATTCGGACTTGGATGTGCTGTGAAGGGTAAGAGAACAACCAAGGGTAATGTTATCAGGATTTCCATAATGGCCACAGGTGAGGAACAGAATAAGGTTAGGAAGAAAGAGAACAGACCGATTCTACAGACATTATATGTGAGAAACTTGAGGGACACCACAATGAAGAGATTCAAGAGTAGCTGGGCGGATGGTTCTGTCCTCAGACGAGAGATTTTAGTTGGAGATAAAGATGTAGAAATTATTTGCATCTAGATAGGAAGCAGATGAGGTCAATTCAGAGACTGAGGGAGGGAGAAGAGAAGCAGGTAGGAACTCTATGGGAAGATAAGAGTTAAGAGCCATAAGGAATTATAAACCCACTAATTAATTCAGTGAAAGAGAAGATAAAAGAGAGAGGCATGTTTTACTATGTTCTTTTTAGTCAGTGGTAATCTTGGTATCCTTCATGACCCAAGTGGAGGCTAAAATTTAAAAACAATGTGTGAGGAGGTGGTCAGGAAAATTTGCTTGGGAAGATTAGTTTCCTCCCAAAAGGAACTTAAATTAAATGGAAGTATTTGTTGGCTTTATTTTCTTTCCATACTATAAACAAAACCTTTAAGAGTCTCACAGTCCTATTATGGTAAATAAGTGCCTGGAAATAAAGGGCTGCATTGAAAAGTCCATCATGCAGTTATCAGAGCACTGTTTCACTACCCAGCTATCAATGTTCAAAGCCAGTGCTGCATCTAATGTCTCAGGGGAAACACGGGAGCTTTATAGAGAGACACATTGGTCAGCTTTTGATAAGGCTCTGCAGTGATAATTCCTGGGGAAAATAAAATGTCATGAAGCAATGGACAAGAAGAGCTTACAGGACAGAAAGCAAATCCAGTAACAGGAAATAGCATCACTTTTGGCAGGAAGGTCAGATGAAGGGGATGGTGTTTCCTGCTGGTGGCATGATTTCCAGAGTCACAAAGCTAATTGTAGCTTAGACGAAGCTAATTTGCCTTAGACGAAGGCAAAGCCCTGTCAAGAAAAAGAACTCAGCATTGAAAATAAGGCCAGGTGGTTTGGGTAAGTAAGAGATTACCTGAGTGTAAGCCAGAAACCCTGGAAGAACATAACTCCTTTGGCCAGCAACGTATCACTGGAGGTCCAGCTCCCAAATGACGCTGGATGTCTTTCAAAGGGCATTACAACCAACCCAGCACATCTGTCCAAATGCTGTCTCCATGAGCTATGGCTCTGTGTGTTGAAAGGAGGCAAACCAAATAGTGTTCTTGACATAATTTCCCCATCGTACTCATTTGTCAGATAGAATATTGGCCATTCTTTTGCAACACAGGACCCTGTCCTTGCCCCAGTTTCTATGAGGAGCACTGGACTGCCTTCCTGGTTCCAGCCTGACAACATCTTCTTCCCCTTCCTGTGCCAGCATTAGAAAAGAAGTTAACAAATGGATCTAATTACCACAGTGGCTTGAGACTACTCAACTTTTTTCCCTTCCAGCTGCAAAGTTGTCCTCAGACTAAGCCTCACATTCAGAACTGCTGTCAAACTCTCACTGTAATGGCACTTAAGTTTAATGTCAAGCTGACGCCTGTGGAAGACCTTGATTAAATTTGCAAACAGTAGACTCTAACCGAAGGAGAACTTTACAGTTGTCTCATTTCGCCTTTCAAGCTTAAATCCCAGAAGTTTTCTTTTCTTCTTTGCAAAGAATTACAGAAGTTTGTGTGCAAAGACCCTGAGTATCAGTAGGAGAGCAAAGTGTAACAATCAAAACATCCTGCGTGCTTGGAGACAAGAAATCCCTCAGCTTATTAGAAGTCTGTGTGAATTAAAGATTCACACTCCCATCTCACTCGAGATCTATTAATGATTCAGTCTTATGACTATAATATTACAAGTCCTCCTGGTGTCCTTTTAAGCACCTGGTAATTAAGAGTTTTGTACTGCATGGACAGAGGAAAAACATGGAAGGAACATGAAAGAAATATGGGCTCTCCACCAACAATGTCATGCTTCAACCAGGTACAAACTTCCAACCTAGTTTCTTTCCTCGTTGTTTCTCCTTTTGTCTTTGATAGCCATGCAACCTCTCTTCCTGGTAATAGAAGCCTAGAAGTTAAAATGTATCTGGAAGACTTGTTCTCATTTACTGACTACTATTTTGAAGAGGCTGCTGGTTTTTGATTATTCTTTTGGGTTCTTCCTACATCATCTAATTCAAACAGGTCTGTTTTCAAAGAAAACAAATCAAACTTGTCAAGACCTGTGAAGCATGAAAAATAAATTGCTTTTTCCAACTCCAAAAAGCAGCAGAAAAGCCTTAATTTCTCTCTTCTTATTTAAGCCTCTAACCCTTACCTTCTAATCTGTAGATTTCACAAAATGTTTATATATTCTTCTGTATTATACACGACAGGAGATCAAACCTTATTACTAAGAAATTGAACTTGTAATACAACTAATATTTAAACTAGTATTATTTTGGAGTTTGGCTAGCCACATAAAACATTCAAGAAAGCTGACACAAGTTCTCTGGGCTGCCGATAGAAAATAAACAGTCCACCAAGACACATCTCCTGTGCGGTTAATAGCTCTGTCCTTTTAGGCGGTGGGAGTGCAGGTTTCAATGGAGGAGGAGAAAATGAGGCAGTAGAAAAAGATGGCCTTGCAAAATGTCAGATATGAAATATCCTGTCATAAGATTTCTCACTCAACTACAGCAGTGAGACTATGTCTAATATTTCCCTTCTTTTAATGCAACAGAGACATTTCTATGCTCAGTTTTCTAAAGCTAACTTAAGTCTGTGGTTAAAAAAAAAAACACAGCTCCATGTAGCACTTGCTCATAATATTAAAAAAAAGAAAAAAGACTGTGGTTTTAGAATTTGTGGATAAAGTGGTAGGTAGTCATCACACTCCTGTAGAGAACTATAAATGATGAAAGGAATAGCAGATGGTTTTGGAAGGGAGAGATTTATAGAGGCAATTTGTAGTGGAATAGTGCTATTTTGTGAACTAGGTAATAAGAAGTCATGAAGACAAGAGCTCAGATAATACCTCATTTAATTATGGTACTAAATATTCCATGAAATCTTTGACTCCATTGTCTTAAGATTTCTAAACTGAAAATCATTATCAGCTGATTCTTGGGTTTTAGTGAATCGGTCCTCTTTGAATCCTTTTCTTATGATGCAGCGATGGTCCAAATAGTCTAGTTTTCTCTCTACAATGTCCTCTTTTCAAGTTAGCATCTGATTCAACAAAATAAAGGAAAAGTACTGCTCTTTACCAGAAAAGAAGACTGAAATAGACTAGTATTTTTCACATAATCCAAGGCAATAGGTGAAGGAGAGTTACACTTTAATTGGGTGTCCTTAGAGCCCCAAAGCCTTGGGTGAGCAAGTAGAGATGCTGGGGAGGAAATCAGTCAGGCAGATAAGGGCATCACAGGACATGAAATGCCAGGGATTGTCTCTTGCCTTACCGAGTCGATCCTGTGTGTCTTTGGCCATCCACAGTGTTTGCTAAATTCCACTGCTGGCATTGACAGGATGAGATTACTACTGATATCAGAATATTCATTGGTGACATTAATGATTTATCAAAACTATTTGGTAATTCATATCAACCACAGAAATAGTAAGGTATGAAGGCTGAGGGTGGGGAGAAGCATGTTAGCCTTATAGCCTTCTTGCTTTAGCAATTATCTACTATTCATAAACCTACCCCAGTGAATGGAAAATGAGCACAGATAAGGAGGGCTGTTGTTCAGACAATGGATCGATTCCTTAATACACATCACCAGCTACACAAGTCCTCCTTCTCTTCATTCTCAGGTCGAGTTTGCTGCCATTCAAAGGAGGTAAGTTTCTCTTTCCAATGCAGTATAGGCTAGATCTTCACTAGTGATGGGCAGTGATGCTGGATACTCCAAACACTGCTCTAAATACTGAGGTAATTTCCAATCTGTTACAAAGTAAGACTCCAATCACATACAGATATAGTCATAAGCATTTTAATATTTACTAGCACAAATTGTCCAGAAAAAGACCGGGTCAAAAATTACAAATTATTAAAGAGCTTCTTGTGGACTTTAACCAGTCCAGAGGTGATTTTGATCTCCTACAAAAGGACTTAAGTCACAATATACTTGTGACAAATTTCAAAAGAAACTTTTCCATTCTGTGAAAGTAGACTATGGAGGAGGTCTTTGCTTTTCCCTGAAAGCCTGTTTTCCTAATCAATGTGTGTGTATGGATTGGAGTGGGATGGAAGTTCAACAAAGAGGCTTTAAAAAGGGTTGTTAAACCACCTCAGAATCATGTGCTGAAGTACTCTTCCAGTCCCTCCAAATCCATGTCCAGGGAGGAGTTCAAAGAGGCCAGGGCAGATGATGCATCTTTGGGTTTCTGGACGCTGGGTTTGGGTTGGGGGGTTTCTGGGTGGATGGATTCCTTCTTGATGTCTTTACCACCAGTTAGCAGCCGCTGGCTCTCTAAAAAGAACTGATTCGGATGATTCAAAGAAAAGCCGCAATCATCCACCTGTTTAGGGAAGCAAATTGTATCACGTTAATACTGAGGAGGGCTATGAATAAAGGGCCTCGCCCTGTGTGTAGTGTCACTCCAAGCCGCTTAATACCTGCAGCATGGACCCTCGCTGTTCTCACTACTTACCACTTCATTCAGGAATGCTTCAGCCACTTCCCAAACACTAATGGCTCTTGCATTTCTACCTCAGCCCAGCGCTCTGCACTTAACTCCAGCTCCCACCCAGCTCTACTTGACATCTTGTTGGCTCAAAGCCAGCTTAAAGTCAACAGCAAGCTTCTCCTTTCCTTTCCGCTACCCTCTATTCACACTGACTCATCACCATGTGTTCAGTGGGGGCAAACTGGAGACCTCTCACCCACACTTTGAGTCCTCAATTCTGACAACACCCAACCCATTGCCAATTTCTGTTGATATCCTCAGTTATAATCTATGTTTGGTAGGGCTAAGACCGAAACTCAGGGGTGGAACATGCCTCGTAAGCACGAGGCCCTGCATTCAAGCCTTAGCACTGCAAAAGAAAACAAGTTTGGAAAGCAAACCTGAGAGTGTGTGTGTATGAGTGACGTGCAAGTTGAAGACCTATGCATCTTAGTGTTGTGCCCCTGCTCCAGGCAAAACACTTTGCACATTGTAGGTCAATAAATATTTGGTTTTTGTAAGTGATCTTACAATCACTTTTGATACTTTGATATTGGTCCTTGACACCACTCATATTTTAGAATTTATTTATAAGTCTGACATGTGCAATCTCATTTAGTATGACACAAACTCTAAAACAGCAACTGGACTCGCTGTAACGTCTTCACCTGAGTATCGAGCATTCCCTGATCTTTCCATAGAACATCTGACTTAATGGAAACATGTCTAGGCTCATAGCTTTATGTTATTTCTTTTCTCAAAAGTAACTTGTAATCTTTAACTTTGAATAGTACCTTACTCTTCACTCTGTTCCTTTACTATTCAATGAGAATTTGAGAGGGTATCAGTACTTTGTGTCTGAAGATTCAGCAAGTGAAAACTGTTTCCACATTTTGATTCTAAAGTTTACTAATGATAAACAAATACACCTTTCTAGAAGAACAGCAACAAGCACTTCTTGAGGCCTTTCTGTGCCAGACATTGTTTAAAGTCTCAAGCACATACACACACTCTTCACACGCGTGCACCCTTACTTAACTCCCACAGTAGCCCTGAATGAAGGCAGTGTATCATGTTTTCCTATCATTTCGGATGAAGTATCTGAGAAAGGAGGTTAAGTACCTCAGCCACGATCATACACCAGCAGGCTGGAGATGGGATGGCAGCTGGCAGAACCCATGCTCATAAACCAGTGTGCTCTGACACCTCATTCTGGTGCCACAGCCCAGGAGAATATTGTGTTCATACACTGTATTCCTTAAAACCGGAAACCCGTTACAAAGTCTTGACATTTTTTGTGGAGGTGTGACATAACAGTGAGATAACACATGGATCAGTGTAGTCACTCTCTTCATATTTGACCAACAGGTGAGACTGAACTGATCCAATGTGACACCCAACCTCAGATTTGCCTTCTCCCCTTCTGCAGATGGAGCTGACAACAAAATACCATTTGATTTTACTTTTTTTTCCCACTTGATATATTTTGGAAATGGAAACCATTAACATTTCTTTTGTTTATCTGTCATATATTTACCAATTTTAAGAGTATGTCTTGCTATTTTGCCTGTGTTGCCCAGGTTGGCCTTGACTTGCAATTCTCCTAGCTCAGCCTCCTGAATAGCTGGAGACAGGTATATGCCACCATGCCTGGCTTTTACAGTATTTTTACATCTCTCTCCATACTGAAGTGACTTGTTCACAGTAGGTATCTAGTAAATATTTGGTGAGTTGAGCCCATAACTAGCCAATGTACACCAGTCATGCAGCTGACATTAATTGGACCTACTGTGTTATGAGAATGCATTTGACTAAGACTATAGAAATTTCCAGACTAGTCATATGCTTAGAAATCATTTTCAAAAGTAGAGAAGTGATAAGGGTCATAGATAAAGGCCTATTGTACTCCACAGTGGAAAGAAACTCTGCTGTGGGCGGTGGGATCAAAGAAGGCTTTGTAAGGAAGTGCTGTGTGGGTCAGGACTGGAAAGCTGGAGTACACAGCTGGGATGATGAAGGAAAGGGCAGTACAGCAGCAAGACCACATGAGAAGGTCCTGGGAAGGCAAATGGTTTACATGATCTGGAGTGAAGGGATATAAAAAGGAATAAGAAGACAGGATGGAGGGCTGGCTCTGTGGTAGTGCATTTGCCTAGCAAGGATGAGGACCTGGGTTCTATCCCTAGCATTGCCCCCCCCAAAAAAAATGAAAAAAAGAAAAAAAAGTCAGAAAGACTGGCAGGTACCAGACCTCAGAGAGCCTTGAAAGCCAGGGTAATTATTCTAGACCCAATCCTCTAGAGGCAACAGGGAGTCACAAAAATCCTTAGGGAGGAAAGTGGTGTGATTAGGGCTATGCATAGTCTTATGGAGTGACCAGCGAAGGGGCTTGCTGTTGTGGTACAGATGACCTCTCTTGATGGGCGGATACAAAACAGAAACAAGATCGTTTTTGGTAATATGAGAGTACCCCAGGATTCTCTGTAGTCAGTTGTTAACAAATATTGGGCCAATAATTTTACAGTTATGACAGTGTATACACTGATTTATTGAGTTATTACCCAAATCACTAAGGAAAAATATCTTTAACTGGGCTGCTTAATCTCAAAATGTTTCCTTAATGTTTTATGATACATCTATAATTTCATTAACAATGGAGGCTTCTTCAATGTATTTGATTTTACCCAATTCATTAAAAACTGGGAGATGCAATATAAATTTGTCAAGTGTTTTCTGAAAAGTTTATTGTCTAGCACATTCAACCAGAGGGATTTATATTTTATAGAGGAAATTAGAGATTAAAGGACCCTGGAGATCTTTAAAATTGAACCTCTAGCATATACAGATTAGGAAACTGATGCCTACAGAGATTATATGGTCTAATCATCCATCAAACTAGTAATTGGACTTGTTTGAATTAAAATTCGGGCCTTATGACTAGATCAGTTCAGTTGCTCCGAAATCTCTATTAATAGGTTTCACACAAAGTAAAATAAGCTAACAATGAAATCTTTATTATAAAAACCTTAGCTGTATTATTTCTTGTAAAAGGAATCCAATAGCTGGTACAATAACAACTCACTTGGGATCTTGCTATACCTTGCTTCTAGTTATTAAAGTTTTCAATATACTATCTCAGAGACAACTCTAAAAACTGTAGTGTGGGCAAAATGAAATAGGATAATCTTTATAATCCCCAGATTACTCATCTGTGAGAGAGTTAATAATAGTGCTATGCCATAGGACTGCTATGGGGAAAAACAAAAGGAATTTGAATGTAAAAAGAATGGTTGGTCCTATGAAATCTGGATTAAATATTTTGGAAACTATACTCAAAAGGGCCCTGTCTTTACACCAAAAGATTAGTTCACATTTTAAGTATCTTCAGTTTAAAATATATTCAAGAAATGTGTGGTTTTTTAAAACGAATCCCCACTTTAGTTAATATTTTTACTAACCATTTAAAATTGTGTGAGGGGCCTTCGAGTGAGGGCTTGTATTTGCCCCTCTTAACTCATTTTGTTACGCTTGATATCATCTGTCAAGCTTCTTGATAATGTGATGAAACTGTTTCCTGTTTTCTCAACTATACTTTCTCCTAGGGTGGATTCTTTATTTCTGTTATTTTTGAAGGAAGTGTATATAATTGCTATTCAGTCCCCTTTCATCAAGCTCAGGAAAATAAATTTAGGGTTATTTTGTTGTTTGTTTTTTAGGCAAAGGGGAGAAGCATAAACAAAATGAAAATAGGTATTTAAAAATCTAAGTATGGGAAAGAATAGAGAAAGAGCGGTATCCACATCCTAATCTCTCATGTTACTTCTTTTTGCTCAAGAGCCTACCGCTATTTTCATGCTCTCACTGAAAAGACAGAAACCCCTATTTGCTTCTATCCAGATTTGGAAACACAAGCATTTTCACAATTTGTCTTTTGTGCATCAATCTTCAATCTTCTGGTCCCTTTCCTCAAACCTCTTTCTTGCTTGGTGAGTGATGGTTTTCTTGGTGTTTTTTTTTTTCCCTTTCAGAACTGAGGTTTGACTCAGAGGCTCATGCTTGCCTGGGTAGGGCAGGGGGCTCTACCTCTTGAGCCAGGCCAGGGCACTGTGGCTGATCATTTCTGACTATGTTGTGTACATTTTGTAAGGTATTGGAAGAGAGAAGCTCTATGATGCATTTTCATTCTGCCATATTGTATTGATAAGCTCTGGGTCACTAAGACAAAATACCTGAGAAAAACAGCTTGTAAGGATGAAAGTGTTATTTAGCCAACAGTTGATTGGTTCTATTCCTTTTGGGCCAATGGCAAGGCAGTACATCATGGTGGGAGAGCATGGGAGAGCAAAGCTGCCTACCTCATGGCAGCTGGGAAGGAAAGAGACCAGAGTCCCACTATTGCCTCCATGGACACTCCACCAATGACCTAACTTCCTTTCACTAGGCCCAACCTCCTAAGATTCCCAACTCTTGGCACCACAAGAAGGGAACCAAGACTTTGAGGGACATTCAAGAGGTGAATTCGACTATGATAAATTATAAGAAATTTTGTACAAAAATTTGTACAAGGGGTACAAAGTACTATGAAGGATGTAACACAAGATCAACAGAGATGGGATCTAGGAAAGCTGCTTTATAAGGTTCATCATAGACTCTGGATTTCATCTTCAGAGAAATGAGAATCCATTAAAGGCTTTTTGAAGCAGGTTACTGAAATGATCACAATTCTTTAAATATCACTACAGCAGATGTGTGGAGGAAGAACTAGAACGTATAGATTCAGGAAAATGAGCTAGGAGACTAGCCCAGAATTTTAATTGATATCTGTAATGACCTCGAGTTATAAAACGACTTAAGTATATTTTAAACTTCCTGTTAAAGATGGCAAAAAATAAAAAAGGTGAGATAGGTTTTAGCAAGATTTCTGTAGAGACTTATATGATGGAGAAGAAACTGTGCTCAGCCACTGGGACAGCAAGTCTCTAGAATTACTCAATGTCCAAAGAGGTCTATTCCTAAAGAATTAACTAAAATTCAAAGATTAATCTACACAAAACCTACTGTGTTCATTTACACACAAAGTATGCAGAAAGTATGACTATACTATTATGTAACTAATCACTGCTCCCTAAAACAACTGAGGAAAACAAATCTTAAGTACACTAGCTTTTGATGTCTATTAAATGGATAGCTCTCAAACATTTGCTTGGAGTCAGTCAACATATTCTGCACACAATGACCTTCACACAAACACAGAGCTCATATTTCTGCCACACTAATGTAGCTTTTGAAGGAATGGTAGCAATATTGTTTTTACCTATGGGATATTTGGGTTTTAATCAAGAGGTTTTGCAATGACAGCTTATAATGAGGCAGCTGGTATTACCAAAAGAGCCATATGGAACTATCATAGTGCTGTTGCAGTTGGTATCAATTAACTGGTTCATTTGCAAAACTTTCATTTCAGTGGATTTCATCACAGAGGCCTCAGGAAAATAAACTAGAAACTTACTGGGGAGGGGCAAAGGATGGCAGAAACCCCCCCATAAAAATAGATAGCTTTTAAATCAGAAAAAATAATAAATGAAGGGAGATATTCATATGTAAAACTCTACAATGAACAGAAGCAACTTTTGTCCTGCAGTTTAAGGTTTAAGTCTCAGTACTCCACACAGGAGGGTTTAAATCATTTCTTTTCAATATCTGCATTAATCTAAGGCAAGTTTTAAAAACTGGCAATAGTAGCAGTATCTTGTTGAAATAATCAATAGGAGAGCTATTACAAAAGCAGACAAATGCTCCTTCCTTCTCAGTGATTATGTCATAAACTCAATGCTTAAGTCTAATTTTACATTTTATTTTTTAAGGAAAGAGATTGGCTAATAGACCTCAATTTGTGAAAGACTCCACAAGTGATTGAGAACACACGAAATCAAAGGGCTCAAGATGAGCAAATTACAGAGTGCCACCTTCACAGGAGTGCATGCTAAAAGTACCAGATGTGTGCCTTACTGAGATGCCTACACTGATGAAACTAATCTTCACATTTTGTGAAAATAAACTGTTTTCAAATAAGAGTACCAATGTCCAAAGTTGAGTGCAGAAGAAAGTGGGCTAGCCTCACAGCAGACCAGGCTCTAGTTCCAGCCTGGTTACTTAGGACCACTAGACCTGTTTTTATATATATAAGCTATATGATGGCTACAGCAGATTACCCTTGATGCTTGCTAAAATTAAAAACCCTGAATGAAACAGAGGGTAACTAAAGGACACAGAATTAGGTGACGAAGTTAAAAAAAATTACTTACATTATGTGTCATCTCGAAGTACTTCTGACAGGCTACCTGGTAATGTGTCCCCTTTACTAAATCCAAAATCTAAAATAAATGAGGAAAAGGAGAAAGAAAAATTAGAATTATGCTTCTTTTAGCCATTGTAGAGCACAGCTGTTGCCTTTCATGATCCTTGTTCCAGACAGGAAATGCAATAAATCGCATCTCATGCTGTACATCTGCAGCCTGGGCACTGTGATGATTCTGACATGAGGTCGCTCCACAGATGGCGGCATCTCTCCCAAAGTGTGTCCAGATAAAGCTAGTGTGGCATAATCTAATGGTCGTGGATGAAGCAATCAAGTATACTATTAGATACTTACCTGCACATTTCTTGTTTATACAGATAAAGGATAAAATACCACTACATGCACATCAGGAAAATTGAACGTAAACCCTTTGGACAAGTATCTGTGGAGAGGCAATGCATCTTTCTTCAATCAGGTTTGTCCTGTTTCAAATGAAGTTACTTCTTGAAAAGCTCAGCAGAATGAGCGAACAGTCTACTCTGAGCACCTATTAGGGACATCATCCTATCTTTTGTAAACAATTTGCTTTCCAATTAGAATTCATGCAGTCTCTCCAGAGTGGTGAAGTCCCCTCCTTATTAGCCAGCTGCAATGGTAGATTACATTTGTGAAGTTTCATTGCCTCCCAAATAAATAAAACATACACTTGGCCTATTTATCAAACATAGTAAAATGCTAGAATTAAGAGATGACCTCAAATGAAGGGAAGCATAATTCTAGAGAAATGTTAACTTATACCCCTTTTCAGAAGGCTGAGCCTCCTGTCACAAAAAGGAGTGAGCAGTCTCAACTTCCTGCAACCCTCACTGTCGAGTGTGGCTCTCCATCCTTGGACAGAAATGTGAATGGGCATTCTGCAGCACTGACAAGAATGCACTTAAAAGACTGCTTTTCTGTGATTGCCTGAATTTCTCCTCACCTTTTATTAAATCTTACATGAAAAACCTGTGTCTAACCAATCACAGAACCCAGAATCCTGGCTATTTGGCCTATTTTTCTTGATTATTAGAGCAAAAATAAAAAATCAATTTAAAATGAATGAACGTTAAAAAAAAAAAAAGAAGTTGCAGAGACTTCGAAGGAATAACACTAGTGCTTCGGGAACTATCTTCTCTTGCTTCTGAGAGTGAGCCAAACCACCTTAAAGGCTGATGTCGTAAAGGTTCCTGCAGCTCTCAACAGCACCACACTGAAGTCTGAGCTCTAAGACATAAATCTTTGGGGACATGCAAACCATACCCAAACGCAGGCACTGCAAGGGTGGCAGACAGAGACTGGTTCAGAGTGAGGGTCGGAAGTAGAACGGGTCAATGCAATATACGGTACACAGAGTGGAAATATCCAGAGGAGAAATGTGGCCAAGAGGAAGAACAACAAACCAGGTGGGGGAACAATGAGGAAGCTGGAGAAAAGACCTACATGAGATGGAGTCCATGCTCACACCAAAGTGTGACCACAGCTCACAAGTGAACACACAAACATGCAACCACGGTTCACAACTGTACACACTGCAGTGTGACCACAGCTCACAAAGGCACTTCACTGAGCTGTGACACTAACTCTTCAACTTTCACATTCCACTCTGAAGGAACAAAAACAACACAATTTCCTCTTTCAAATAGCATTAATTTCAAAGAACAGTTTTCTAAAGGTCAGAGGAAACTAAACCAAAATTCCTAATTCTGCTCTAGAAAAATACAATTAATCTAAAGAATCATATCAAACACTTACCTGAAAACAAGAAGATTTTTACAAAGGTCTAAAGAAATTGCTCAAATGCAGGACAATCCACCCCCCACTAAGGACCAGACCTTGTACATTACACCATCTTTGTGTCCACGTAAATATGCTTTCGTTACATTGTCACTTGTATTCTTGAGTTTCTATTTGCCTCTCGCTGCACACAACGAACACACAATACTGTAGGATCCAATTTATACCTAAATATTCCCACTTACATTTCAACCTTTTTAAAAGCAACTACCAAGTGTTTACTCAGAGACAGAAAATTAAGTAAAAATCTAGTCCTACCTTCAGTGTAAAAAATTAAATAAAAATCTAGTGCAAAAAACTAACAGATAAATAATTACACTCTGGTATAAAGAGTGCTGCGGGTATTAGGTGGAGCATAATTGAGGTATAAATGAAAGAGAGCTTATTTCTGCTTGGTTAGAGTCACTCTATCTTTAATCAAGCCCACCCTCTCTGATATTTTTGGTTTTTTTCTCCTTTTTCTACATATAGGGTCAGGTCCCTCTCAGTCTTAAAATTGAAAATAAACCACACCAGGCACTTAAGCCAATACCATCTGACATCTCCTTTTCCAGCGGGTTTTCTGTCTTTTACTCAGTGTGCTCTTTCTTTTGGTGCCCACCGTTTGGTTGATACCTCTCTCTGAAGTCAAAGCTGAGTCGCTCACTTAGCCCGTACAGCCTTCACTCAATGTTTCTGCTCAACTGTCATCTTCAACCTTTTTCCTACGAGGGACTTTGTGGTCCTTCCTCTCTTCCTGTCAGATACATTTGCTCCCTCTCTTCAAAATTTGTTCAGTCTTGATTAATCCCACTTTCTTTTAATGCCTTGCAAAAGCATTAACCATTTTGAGAATGGCTTTTATTTCTCTATATCCTCTCTCCCACAGCAAACTCACATTAATCAGCTCTAAAATAGGGTGGTGTTGAGAAAAAAAAATCCTGAAGTCAGAAGACCACTGACTTAGTTACACACCCATAACAGGTTACATCCTAGGACTCCACTGAAGAGACGGCTTTCTAATGTTCTTTGCAATCGTAAAGTTCTACATCTCTAACTGGAAAGAACATCAGATTTCTAGTCCTAACTTCCCCAATGTGAAAAACCCACATCTGTCTGCTGTTTAAATGCTACTCTCTAAAACCTATCTTCAAAACAACCTCTTCCTCAGTTAACATACTGGTGCCACCATTAATTATCCTATCTGAAACCCAATCATCCTGTCCACTCACTGCCTTTTACCATGCATTGTTCTTTCCTAATTCCCAGCATTCCCTCAAGGCCTCTTCTAGAAAGTGTTGCTGGTCTCCCCAGCTGATCCCCCTCGGAATACCTAAGATACTCTGCTCTGTACTTGACTTATGCTTTCCTCCAGACTGCAGCTCTGTGGGAGTGGGACTCATACCTGACCCTCCATAGCACTCTGAGCACTGCCTTGCAGAGTAAGTACCAAAGACCTATTTAAGACTTAACCTGAGTTAACTAAACTCTATCTGAACTTTGGACACAGGAGATGTTCTAGAGTAATAAGGTTCTTCAAATACTTAAAGATGCAAAATGACTTAGATGTTGCAGTTCTAGAATAAATGCTCATCTTCTTAGGCAAAGGAAGCAGAGGCTCCCCTTAACTCTTTCTACCTCTCAGCTCAGAAGCACACTGTACACAACAGTCTCTGCAATGTCATGTTTATTTTTAAATAAAATCAGACTTACTAAAAGATGTACTCTTAAATATTTGGTTTACAATTTGAATATTTCCTTTCTATTTAGATAGTTCATAAGACAAAGTACTTTCATGACCTATCAGACCTAATAAATTGCAATCACAAGTATAGCTTACGCACAGCAATAACTGATACCTGTCAGAGCATTCAGCTAGTACACCCCACCTTGCTGCTGCACAGAAAATGATTCCCCAAATGAAACATGCAGTCATTAATTTTCAGCTTCATTAATAAGCTTCAATACTTTACTCTAAAAAATGTGTTTTAACTATGGAAGCCAATTGATACAGCAAAAAAGGGGGGTGGGGAGCTTCCAGTTTCCTGTGCTATCAAAAAAAATTAAAATGTAGCCTAGTGGAAGAAGAACTGGACTTTCCAGTGTAAGAGAGGGAATCCAAGGCATCAGCTTAGTTAATCTAGAAGACAGGAAGCCTGACGTGGGCGGGATAAGCACAGAGCAGCACCATGCAAGACAATGGATAGAACGGAGAGCCTCTGCCAGGACCTCAGTACCAACGATGCAGAGTAGTCTGACCTACCTGGCTTATCCCTCCGGGAGAGATCTTGTAAGACTGCAACTTCTGCTTCAGCAGCTCTGGGTCACTGTGACGGAATGGGCACCCTGACAACAAAAAACAAGCCAGCAAAACAGCAGGTTATTTACCCAGGACTCAGTACAGTCCCACACTTGAGAGACTGTCTAAGCTCCCCTTAATCGTCTAACAGCTTATTAATAAGAAAGTTAATTGCCCATGGGTGCAACTGCTTTCCTCTCTTTACCTAAACGACAATGAGGCTGCAGTGTTATCAGGGCACTACAGACTCCAGTTACGTAAAGCATGACAGCATCCTCAGGCTAAGGTGCTCATTGACTGGGGAGAGGAAACTGCACAAATAATCACAAAGCAGCTTTAACAGTTTACCTAAAAATGTATACAGTCTCATTTCCAGTCTAAAAAATTACATAAGAGGCACATAAGAGAAGGAAAATAGATGCGAATCAAAAAGGAAAATGTGCAACAAGCTCGGAGAAATAAAGCACTCTCACTATTTTCAGGCACAGACTCCATGCCTATCTTCTGTAGACAGAATTAGCAGAATCATGAGGAAATGAGAGAGACAAATAGGAAACTATTTCACAGGAAAACACTACTCACTATGTTCACAGCATTATTATTTCATGAGAAAAATAAAAGATCGCTACTAGAAATATTTGCATGAATAAGAATACAAAGATTAAAAATTAAAAACTGCATTAAGCCAAAATCTAGAAAAACCTCCACATTCTAAAAAGAAGCTACATTAAGTCAGAATACTTAATTGAAAATTTAATACAACAAAGTCTGAATTTCTTATGCATACAGATGATAGATGTGTAAGTTAGAAACAATTGTGCATTTTTAATGAGATCAGTGGAAAACTGGTTGATGAAAAAAATGGAGCCAGAAAGTCAAACAAGTGTATTTACCAAAACACTTAACTATACATTAAATATCCATATAATACTGTGAACCCCTACAAACAATGAAATTTGATGAAATTTAAAATACATCCTTTATTCAGTTTAAAACTTACTTTTTTTTTTTAGTACAAGAAAACATGTTGAGAAACTGTATAATAATAGATGGTTGAGACTAGAGTTACACTGCTTGGGTTTTAATCTCTTTATCACCTACTGGTTGGGTGACTTTGGGCAAATTATCTTCTTGTTGATTCAGCCTCACTCTCTCTTGAGTGTGGGAAATAACAGTATCTACTCATAGACTTCCTGTGAGAATGGAACATAAAGCTCTCATATGCTCCTGGCACACACACAGCAAGCACTCAAAACATGTTAGCTACCAATATTGTTCTTGAAAAATCTGATAGTAAGATTACAGAAGATGTCAATGAGAAAGAATCAAAGGTACACAGGGAGTTACTAGCTAAGCCAAAATGATTAAAGGTCACTAAAAAAGGAGACAGATGAAATGGAATTACCCAAATTATACTTTAAATAATGTTAGGGACTAGGGGCACAGCTCAAGTAGTAGAGTGCTTGTTTAGCAAGTGCAAGGCCCTAAGTTCAAACTCCAGTACAAACAGGATGGGAGGGAGGGGAGGGAGAAATGGGGGAGGAGGGAAGGAAGAAAGGAGGGGAGGGAGGGAGGGGAGGAGAAATGGGGGAGGAGGGAAGGAAGAAAGGAGGGGAGGGAGGGAGGGGAGGGAGAAATGGGGGGGAGGGAAGGAAGAAGGATGGAGAGGAGGGAGAGAGGAGGGGGAGAGGAGGGAGAGAGGAGGGAGAGAGGAGGGGAGGAAGAGGGGAGGGAGGGGAGGGAAGGAAGGGAGGAAGAGAGGAAGGGAGTAAGGGAGGGAGGGACGGGGGAGAAGGAAAGAAAAGAAACACAGGCTAGACCTGTAAAAGAGGCCAGAAAGGGCAAAGCCAAGAAGAAACTGAAGATTGCCAAAGTACTGATGACCCAGAAAGGTCTTAGGAAGCTATGCTATCAGAAGAAAACAAAACAAAGGAAGACATGAAGCTGGTGTTAACAGATGATATAAACCTGCTTTGTTTCTGTATTCCACATCAAAGAAAACGATTTTCAGGGTTGATCTGACAAGATAACACAAATTGAGGCAATGATAACAATTAATGTTAAAGCTAATGACAGCTGGGGTTTTTTTTTTGTTTTTTTTTTTTTGCATTACTGGGGTTTGAACTCTGGCCATCTTGTCCCACCTAAGGGGGAAAAAAAACTAAAGCACTGGAGAAGTTCACAGTTGGAAGACACTGAGCAAGCAGTAGAACCCCTGTTATATATGGCAGGGATGCTGGAATGAGGAGACGGATCTAAAACCACTATGATTAATATGCTAAGGAAACTAAAAACAGACAACACGAGATATTAATATAATAATGTGGATTTGATGTAGATTCTAATGAAGCATTTAAAAAATACTACAGATTAAAAACACTGTAGAAATGAGGACAGTTCTGGATAGACTCAGTTTCAAAAAGGCTGGGGGAAATTCTCAAGTGTTAGAGCTATAACAATAAAAATGTGTGAAGCTAAAAAGCAAAGAAGAGAAAAAGACTGAAGAAAACAAAACAATATCCAATAACTATGGAACAACTATAAAACTTGTAACATATGCATAATTAAAATACAAAAGAAAAGGGAAGAAGAAACTAGGAGAAAATATTTGCAAGACACAGTGCGTAAAGTACTGTTATCCAAAATACACAGAGAGCCTTGAGAAAGGCCATAAAAGAGAAGCACCAATCTGACTTTAAAAAATGGGCAAAAGACCTACACAGGCACCTCACTTTCTTTGGTATCTTCTTTGATACACAGATGGAAAGAAAACCTATAAAGCCTACAAAAGAATAGCCAAAATACAAAACAGTAAAAATATCAAATGTTGGCAAGGATCAGAACAAGAACTCTCATTCACTGCTGGTGGGAATGCAAAATGGCATAGCCACTTTGGAAGACAGTTTGGCAGTGTTGTATAAAATGAAACACAGTTTTACCATATGATCTGGCAATCACACTTCTTGGTATTAATCCAAAAGAAATGAAAACTTTTATCTAAACAGAAACCTGCACAAGAAGTTTACAACAGCTTATTCACAAATGCACAACTTGGAGGCAACCAAGATGTCTTTCAGTAGGTGAAGGAATAATCAGTGACAAACGACAAGAGAATATTATTCAGTACTAGAAAGAAATGCGCTATCAAACCATGAAAGATACGGAAGTTTACATTACATTTATGCAGTAATAGAAGACAATCTACAATGGGTACATATGGTATGTATCCAGCTGCATGACACTATAAAAGGCAAAACTATGTAGAGTTTGAAAGACATGTTTCCAGGGATTAAGAGAAAGGAGGAATGAGTAGGCAGAGCACCAAGGATTTGTAGGGCAATGAAACTATTCTCCCTGGTATATGTTGCATTATAAATTTGCCCAACTCCATACAATATAGGCAGCAGGAGTAACCCCACATAAACTATGGGCTTTGGCGATAATGGTGTGCCAGTGTAGGTCCATCAATGGTGACCAATTTAGCAGTGTGCCACGAGATGCTGATAAACGAAGTGTGCAGGTGTGGGGCAGAAGTACAGTGGAAATTTTCTGCACTTTGTGGTCAATTTTGCTGTGAACCTAAAGCAGCTCTAAATAATAAAGCTTACTTTTACAAAAGAGAACAGGTAAATGTGTTCAGCAAAAGAGTCACTGAGTATCTGGTCAACTCTTATCTGACGTTTCTCTTTCTGTGGTTTCAACTATCCAAGATCAGTTCCAGTCCAAAAATATTAAATGGAAAATTCCAGAAACAATCCGAAAGTTTTATATTGCGCACTATTCAGAGTAGAGCAATGAAATCTCACTCCTTTGTGGAAGACATGAAGAGAAAATGTGCTCTGGGTGCGCCAGAAAGCACTGAGCTTGTACAAAGACTTGAGCAAGACTCCCCTGAAATGAGGGCACATCAACCATTTACCACAAGTGAGAGTGGGTGCACAGAGTCAGGAACAGGGTGTGTATTTTTTTCCTGGTGCCAGGGATTGAAGCCAGAGCCTTGTGCATGCTAGGCAAGTGCTCTACCACCGGACTACATCCTAGGAATAGGATGGAAACAAAACATGTAGAAATCTCTGGAGGGGCTGCATCTGAGGAAGAAGCTGCTACCACACTTCCTGCAGAGTTGTATTTGTGGTTAAGGAAACAGGAAAGCATCTAAAGCAAGTCTTCAACTGAGACAAGACCAGTCTCTTCCAGAAAAAGATGCCAGTAGAACCAACATGCACAAAAGTGCAAAGAGGCACCAGGCATAAAAGCCGGAAAGACAATCAACCCTGGTACTACGTAGCAACACTGTGGGGCATATTATAAAGCCAGGTGAGGTGTGTGGAGTGAAGAACCCGTGCACCTTGTTTATGGAATGGTTATCAGTGCTCCACCCCAGAAGTGAGAAAAACACTTGGAAGAGGAAGGACTGGAATTTAAAGTCCTGTGAATAACAGATAATGTATCTAGCTATTCTAAGTCTATTCACTATGAAAATGAAAATGTCGACGTCTTTTTAACTCCAAATATAACCTCAGTACTCAGCCCCTTGACCGAGCATCATTTGGTTTGTCAAGGCCACATTCATTCACCTGGTAACTGACCGCACCTAATCAACAACTGATGCAGGTCCTCATCTGGACACAGTACATTGCTAGAAATGACTCCTACTGGGGATGCAGTAAGTCATCAAAGCTACAGGAGTGAATTAAAACCAGAACTTATAAATGTTGGAGCAGCTCATCAAGTGAAGCCATGATGGTTTTAAAGGCTTCCTGAGGATTGATAGAGAAGTAAGGAAAATCATTCATGCATCAAGACAAGCTGATATGCATGATCTGCAGCCATGACCCAACATACGGAAGGCATCAAGAAGCATTCCATTCCACCAACTGGGAGTGGAACGAACTTGTTGAGTCATGGGCAGACAGAGATGACAAGAACCTGAAGCAGAACCAACAGTGTGGGCATCCCCAGAATTTGCTAATGCAACTTTTTGTTTCTTTTCTTTTTTTATAACAATACTCGACTGGCTGGTTTTATTGGAGAAAGAGACGTGGAGTAACAATGTGAAGACAGCTGGGACCCCAGGTTTGGAAGAACACCCTCCCCTCCCCATATGTGCCCACTGCTCCACATAAACAATAACCACCTATGGGGGAGCAGCTGAGACAGTGACAGGGGGAGGGGAAGGAGACATGGAACTTAGGGCAGCAGTGAAGAGACCATGCATGTGCTGGAAGGACCAGAGGTGGCAGCTGGATGAGTCTGTCTTCCTTGTAGGCATGGATAAATATAAAGATAAGCCGTCTTCTCCCCTCTCCCTCTGCTCCGTGTTGCCTGCAGCCATCAGATAAGGTCTTGCTATGCTGCTCAGGCCGTTCTCTCCCTGCCCCCAGTACTAGGTTTGATCTCAGGGTCTTGTGCTATTTGAGTCATGGCCCTAGCCTTTTTTGGTTTAGTTATTTTCCACACAGGGTCTTGTGCTTGTGCCTGGGTTAGCTTCAAACTGTGATCCTCCTACCTTTGCCTCTAGCTGGCGTACAGCAGTGCGATACCCGCACCCAGCCTGTTCACACTTCTTGAGCTCCTGGGCTCAAGCAGTCTTCCTGCCTGAGCCTCCTGAGCTCTGGGGCTACAGTACGACGACACCTGGCTTGAAAGTGTTTTGAACTGCACAAACAGTAAGGGCCAAACTATAGAAAAGCATCTTCAGATGGAAAACAGCATTAAATAACCAGATGATCACTGGAGGATTACAGCCTGTGCAGCAACACTTTGATGAGTTAAAAAGAGAGAGAAAGAAAACAGGGCTGGAGTGTAGCTCAGTGGCAAGAGCTTTGGCCTAACGTGTTTCCCCAGCACTGAAAAAAAAAAAAACAAAAACAAAAAAACCTTCCAATTACAATGTTCATCCACAAAAAAACTTCAACTACTGAGGACATGCAGTTATTCCCATCACCATGGTGCCTTGATCCAGGGTCACCTGATGTGAGTGTCCCCAACAGCAGTGTAAGGCTACATCATGATGCCTGTGTCAGTCACCTTGCATGGTCCCATCACAGAGGCACTGTTGTCATCTCACATCATCATCAGAAGGGAGTACAGTACAAGAAGACATTTGAGAGAGACTGCATTAGCATAGCTTCTATCACAGTGTCAGCTGCCAATCTCTTGCTGTGTGTAACTTACAAATTAAACTTCATCACGTGTGTACATGCATAGGAAAAACATGGCATAGACCAGGTTCCATACTCTCTGCAGTTTCAGGTATCCACTAGGGTTTTTAAACACATCCCCTGGAGATAAGGGAGGGGAGCTCCTGTTACTGACAAATAGAGTTTAAACTAAAGACAAACTAGAACAAACAATGCGTTAAAATAAAGAGGATACAGTTTAACAGGAATAAGAAACATAAACTTCTGCAATTATGCCAAAAAAAAGCAATGAAGAGACTGAGTCAAGCTAAGACCTGGAATTCTCAGGGGATCCTGGGAGTTCCACTTCGCCATGAGCCTCCTGCGGCTGCTATGCTCACAAAAGCTTCAGACTTCCTCACAGAAGCATCTGGGTCACCAGCTTTGGGAACTTAGAAGACATAAAAATCACCCAAGGAAGCACAAATAAACTGTTTTGTGTGTGAGAGTGGAGCCTGAGTGATCCCACTCTGAGGTACCTTATGGGACTCTCACATGGGACAGTAGTCATTCACCCACATTACAGGTACCAGCTACTGGCCGGTAATCATTCTTGAATGCTTTGGACACACAGAGAGTCTTTCTAAAACATTGTTTGTGATCATTTGATCTTTAACAGCCTGGAAGTGCACATGCCACCTTTTAAAACTGCTTTACTTAAGATTGGAAAAAAAAAAAATCTTTAACAAACACTGCAGTAAGCTTTGGTAACCTAGAAATTTTATTAATAAAAACGATTATCATTTTCTGACATACCAGAAAAATGAGAAGCTTTTCAAGATATGCTTCAAGAATTATTTTATTGTTTTGGAGTACGTGTGTTTGAACCCAGGGCCTTTCTACCACTAGAGCCATACCCCTAATCCTTTTTGCTTTTAGTTATTTTTAAATAGGGGCTTGCACGTTTTGCCCAAGCTGGTCTTGGACTATGATCCCCCTACCTATAGCCTCCCACATAGCTGGAATTACAGACATAAGCCACCATACCTGGCTTGTTGACTGAAATGGAGTCTTGCTTCCCCCACCACCCCAGGCTGGTCTTGAACCACAATCCTCACAATTTACACCTCCCAGGCAGTTAGGATTATAGGTGTGAGGCATGATGCCTGGCCAGAGAAGTGTTTTAGAAAAAATGTTGAACTCAAAGTCTATAGAAAGTAGTTTGACAAGATTCGTTTATTAACTAACAATTCAGGCAACTCAGTACATGTTTGGCACCATGACTTGTTAAATTGCTTAATCTTTGTTGGTCAATCAGATGATAGGAATGAAAACAAAACATTCTCCCTCAGTAGTCTTTTGAAAATTAATGAACCGATTATTCCAAAACCAGAATTTCCAATTTCATAGAGCTTTGAAAAACTGGTATTAAGCTTCAAATACACTTTTAGAACAGAAGAAAGACAAAGGACAGCAGGCAGAGGGGGAACTGAGAACTGAAAAGCCAGGTTCAGCACAAATGAGTACAGCTAAATGTATTTTTCTTACCTGACCCAGTTCAGTAATAAGACACATCACTGCTACAGTAGTGGGGCTCTATCTTAATAGACACTGGACCGACATGAGCTACAGAGTAGGTCCTGCAGCAAAGCAAAACACCATTGCACTGTCTTGGAGTCCCACAGCGCCCGACTCCTGTGCTCCCCAGCACATTACAGGGAACACTTACCGTGATAATCCCCTTGGCCTGGTGGGTTGGTCAGGATAATCTTCAGGCAACTGAAAGGCGTATAGTCCGTCCTCTTGCCTTCCTTTCCAAAGCTGTGACGGATATTGTAAGAGTATCCTTTATCAAACTGATTGAAAGAAAGATAAGAGACAAAGTCAATACTGCACCAGGAGGCCAGCTAGAGTCAGAGTGCAAAGTAACACTTGCTATGGTAAACTCAGTATTCCTGGAACGATGGACATTCAAACCATTTATGTCATTTGGTCCTTTGTGATACCTGTAATTTCTTTTTTAAAAAGGTACCAAACTTACAGGAGACAAATTTCTCAGGTAAAATACAGTCAATGTTACAATGATCCTGCAGTCCTTCAGCATATATGGGGGGATTGGTCCAGGACCCCTGCACACCAGGGTCCTTGAGTGAGTGCTTAAGTGGCTCATGGAAAATTGTGCAGGGTTGCATGTAGCCTATCACATCCTCATCTCTGGGTTATTATAACACCTAACACAACACAAACGTCATGTACATCACTGTCACACTTCATTGTGCAGGGAATAACAAGGAAGATCTGTACTTAATTAGTACAGATGCAATTCTTTTCTAATATTTTGATCCAAGGTTGGTTGAATCTGTAGATATAAAACTCAGAGATCCGGAAGACCAGCTGTATATGCTTAAAGATGAGAAGAATCCTTTCCAGGAAAAGAATACTCAACATACCCTTCCTTTGTCTTATGTCAGAGATTACACCAGATGGAAATCAGCTTGACCTGCTTCCTGTCTTTTGCTAGTTGTGCTTTGGTGTCCACAACCTACCCATTCTAGCTCTGACATACCTCTGCATTTCCACTATTCAAAGCAAGTTGTTAGCAAATGCTTGAAGAACCCCCCCTGCACTTGCCTCCTCCTTGGAATCCCTGCTTCCATGCTCATAAAATAAGCTAATGGAATGGAAGGGACTGTGAAATGAGTAAATAAGAGAGAAAAAAGAAAGGAGCATTTATTGAAAGGCACTTAGGTGCCACCAGGCATTTTGCTGGGCTCTTTAAAAATGTGATCCATTTAATCATTTACATCACGACATCTCCCTATGATGTTACACATGAGAAAACTGAAGTTCAAAGAAATGAAGCAATGTGACGTAACACAGCTACTAAATACATGGCAGAATTGGAAATCATGTGAAGGTTAAGTCTGATTCCAAAGCCCAGGTTCTCTCCATAATACTGTACTTTCTCAGTGATATGACATTTAAAACATAGGTTCCAATAAAATCTTTTCAGGATGGAACTTCTTTCCCTCAGATGACACTTTATCTCAGAGCCCAAAGTTAGAAATAATCCCTTGCTCCAAACTTCAGTAGCAGTTGACCTATATGCACCTCTACATCTCTCATCTCTCACCACGTTTATGATAGTTATGGAAAGTCTCTTACAGCACATTATCCTGTATTTTCTATTAATCACCTACTATACAAAGGTGATCAGCTGCTCTAGGACCATACGTTCCTTGAGGTAAAATCTGACTACTGGATCTTTGTACCCAGCTCTGAACCAGCACAAAAGAAAAAATGAATTAAATTAATGTGGAAGGGTTCCTCAGTCTACTATGCCATTCTAAAGAGTACCATCCTATTATTCTGTTTTCTCCTATGGATGAAGCCTACAGTACGGCTAGTACAAGTCCCGATGCAAGCCCAACAGAGCAAAGAGAATATTTAAATTACGTGCCATTACTAACTCCAGAAAAGAAAGGGAAAGGTTTGTTTGTTGAACAATGCAGACTTGTTCTAGAAGCATGCTCTCCACAATTCCTCAATTTATATCAGCTTATCCATATATTATTTGGGATTCCTCCCTTTGGCTTGAAAAAATCAAATAGACCATCATTTACCAAGTCCCTTAAGAGTCAGAGACTATTCAATTACCATCAAAGACTGAAAAAAGAGAAATTTCCTAGGAAGCATTCCTCTTATCTATCCCACTAAAACTGGTCATGTATCCAAAAGAGTAAACAAGTGAATGCAGTTATGGCTACCATTCTCAGAGACTACACAGAAAGACCATTCAGGTTGGAAATGACTTCTCAACAGTCTCTGCTCTGTCCACACAAGCTTTATATAGTCTTAAGCCAGAGCTCCAAGACACGTTACAGAAAAATAAATGCAGACATGTCTGAGCTCCAAGTATTAGCCCAGCATCATGAAGACAGAATTTCAAAGAAACTGGAAAATACATAATGCAAGCTCATGGCATTGCAAACTCTAAACAATTTAACCCACAGCATGCTGCACAAATGAGGGCTCCCAATGATCTAGACATAAGCCAATGTCATAAGGAGAAAGGGCACTGGGCCCAGAATTGCCCCGCCCTCAAAAGAAGGGGAAAGCCCAAATGCCCTGCTCACCAGAGAATTACTGACTCTCCTCTGGGGAAACAAATGTTTGCTGTCTTCAACAACTGTTAAATTCTGAAGGTGAGATAACCCTACAAGTTGAAGGGCACCCACCATGTTTCTCAATGATACTGGGCAACACGCTCTACCCTTAATACCACCACCCATATTTCCTTTCCCTAATCCTCAGAGTCACCAAATTTTACCAGTATGAATTGTGATACTTTACCTCATCTTCATATTTCTATGGGACTTCTGAAAGCGCTACACAACTTCTCATCTCTACTACTCCTAGTAAACCACTTAGAAGGCATATTACTTATGTATCATGAATTAGGGTATAAAAATTCCTGCAGGATTCCTTCCACAGGCTCTGACTCTTCTCTCTCATGACTATGTTCTCTAATGGCTTTGTCTAACTCCCCAAGGGTGGAGAGATTCATTTACCTCGTTCAACCTATCACCTACTTATAGATTTAACTCAACCATTACAATTCTCTCTTCTTATTGGGCAACCCCACTGTCATCAGGTGTTTATAGGTTACAGACTCATATAAGGTAGAAGTAGGTCCTTCTATGCCTTTCCCCTGTGTTTTTCAATATCATTTAAGACCAGAAGGACTTGAGAGGCTCCCCGATAATGCAAGGTTTATTATACAAAGAAACTAGATAGGATGTGTTGCCCCATTTCCAGTTTATGCAGTATTTCTATTTTTACTATTTAAAAGTCAAGTGATAAAGGATGTCAGTCCTAGATCCAAGATCAATAAAACTGACAAATTCAATTTCCCCTAGTGTTTAATTATAACAGTGTCTTGCCTGCTATCTCTTCCAACATACTACATTTCATGGTTATCAATTCAGTCTTGTCTTTTGTTTTCATATTCCCCTTTATAAGGAACCCTAATACTTCACCTGGGCAAATCAGAAATACACCTGGATGCTACACCCCAAGGGTCTACTGAGGTCTCATATGCTTCCTAAGTACCCTAAACGCCAATTTGACGGATGTGGCATTCCCAGGAGACTCCACTGTCATTCAGTAGTAGATGACATCCTTCTGTGTTCTGACAGTTATGACAAGTCCCTTTTGAACACTGAACACCTTTTCAAGGCATTAGCAAGAAACAGCCACAAGGTGTCTGGAGACAAAACTCCATTATGCTCACTGTATGTTTGATATCTGGGTCATATTTCAACTACACATAAAACAATGTTCACAGATGAAGTCTCTACTATTAAAAAGTTTCCTCTTCCTGAAACAAAATGACAACTGAAAAGCTGGGAATCCTGTGGGACATGGTTACCTAATTTCTCTATGATTGCCTCTCTCTTCAATACATAATTAGTGAGTCATCCTCACCTCACAACTAGCAGCCTAGGACTCCCTGTCCAAAAAAGTCTTTCAAGAACCTTAAGGGCTTTCTTAAGGATAAATCCTGGATTTATCTTCCAATGACTGCATGCCTTTACTATGACTTTTCTTCACCTGAAATTAGTCTTCATTTTTCTGTTCCTGTTCCTCTCCCCTTTCCCTACCTCTCAGATGGAACCTTTGGTAGGCCTTAGCTGAACTAGTCACCACTTTACATAACCACAGTCTGTTTGCTGGTTCTGTGCTCCCTTTCCAGTGGGGGCATCTGGTGTTTCCCAGATTCCATTGATCACAATGGCATCCATTGTCCTTTTCTTACAATCTTTCCTCTCTCTGCCTCCACCATTTAAGGCTTAGACAAATAGCCATTGTGAGAAAACCTCTCTCTCTAGTCTATTTTTATAGGGATCATGTCTGTTTCGGTCATAATTTCACTACTGGCTCTTTCCTGGGAAGAGCATTTATCATCACACTTATCCAGTCATCACCAAATCAAATATAAAGCCACCACGTTGCTCCAGGTTCCTCAGATACCCATTGCGTAAAGAGGAGTGTCCTCACTGGTCCTCCTTCCCACCCTAATTTCTCATATCCAAACCAACCATACATGGCCCTCCAACAATCCTTTCTCCATTTTCAAAATCTTCACTCGTTAGTCGTTCTCAGCCATCAAATAATTATAACCCCTGGCTAACTTCTGGTGATTTCTTTGCCTGTGGAACCCAAATCTATTAGTTATTACCAGCTCTCTGGGCCAGATCCTGTTACTTTTACTAATCCTTTCATCATATTTGAATCCCTACCATTTTCTTCCTTTTTAAAACTATCTCTAAAGTAATTGCTCACTCCTTCCAGCTCACCTTGCTCTACCAGGACAAAAGAAGTGCCCAAGACATCACAGGTTCCCCTGTAGGTAGTCTCAGTTCCTCAGGAGGCCAATCAGAAAGGAAAGCTATACACCTGGACCTAAGTTCTATCCATAGCCTATTTTGGGGAAGAATTTGCCACCTTTTATGTACCATCCCTAATAATGTATCAGCTCAACAGAGCCAATAGCACTGATGAAGCAGCACGCCTTGTCTCTGCACTTTACCACCCTGGCCAGTCATGAGAAACCAGCCTCCTCTTCTCCAGAACCTCGCTACCCTCGACAGGGTTCTGGTTACAGAGGGAGGCTCTTGCACAATGTCAGAGCAGCTGCTATGCCTTTGTCCTGGAAAGCCTAGCTGGTGTCTTTTCCATAACCAGGAGGCTCAAGAGCAAATGAAGAAATTCGTCACAGCTGTCATTCTGATAACAAGGAAAAATAGTCCTGGAACAACTTTCAGTGGATTCTGCAGGCCTATGAACTTGGGCA